CGTGGGCCCCCCGCAAAAATATTCCGTGGAAATGACCCTAAAAACTCTCGGACACGAGCTAAAACAACCTTTTTTTTTTATTTCGTCAAAAAGCATAACATGTCTCTATAAAAAGGCAATGGTAACCTAAAATTTGCCGTTTATCTTGGTTACTTTAATTTTTTTCATACGTACGTTTCTGCGTTTCTGTGCGCACTGAGAGGTTTTGCTTTCGACATCATTCTGACAGCCTTCGTAATTTTACCGATGCGATCAAACCGTAAATATATACTACTACTACGATCAAACCACAAGACGCCGAAAATAATGGCATTGTTACGTAACAAAACGATTTGAGCAGAACCATCATCAACGTTATAAGGTGTGCATTACAGTACTTGTTTTGCACTGCAGCTTTTGGTTTGCGGCTTAAATTTCTAAATTCTAACCGCTTGGGCCCCTTTGCGCTGTGTCTGTGGGTCCTCCCGCGACCGCGGGGGTGGATGCTACGTCAATGTCTGTATTGATTACCTCAGAAAGCATTTCTTTTTCTATAATGTCAGTTAATAAATTGCAACTTCAGAGTCCGTCAGAACGTGGGACTTAAAAAAGTTGCGTTACAACAGTACTTTTGTAGACGACCAATAATAAACGCCTGAATTTTGTGGCTGAAGTTCTCTTTCCAGTTCTTCAAGCTGTAATCCAACCCTGTAATTTCCATTTACCTATGTGCAGATTCAATTAATATAAAGTTCTCTTCTGTTTTGAAGTCGCTTCGTATTCTGTATCCTTTTCTATTTCAGTATGTATCAACTCATTGTGTTTGGTGTAAAACATTACATTCATGCTAGAAAATAAATATATAAAACTAGCAATATTCTTAATCAAACAGCATGTACTCTATAATCTCAACGCAGCATTAATATAAACACTCGATATTGAGTTGCAAAATGTACATATGTTATAATGTTAGAAGAGTTTTTCATTAACACCAATGCTGTATTTATTTATATTTGACGAATCAACAACACACATGCAATAAACTTTTGTCAAAAAGTGTGACGCTGACGCCACGATACGTCAAAATTTGGACCCTCTGCGTCATCTTGTGGCGATTTTCAAAAAATCCCGGGATGTTTTGGGCATTCGAATGTAGGCCTAGTACCGGTACAAGCAGTAGTGTAAAAATGTTTGATATTTCTAATGCATTTTAAAGGAATATATAGTGCGTCCTAATTGTCTAGGGAGATACTTAATAAACTGTTTCTAGCTTCTAGAAAGGTAGATACGGTACTGGTGAAAAAGACCGTTATAAAGTACCGTAATGTTAGGGTGACCATATTTCCAAACCCCAAATAGAGGACAAATCATTCGGTAGAACCATGTTTTACCCGTGCCTGGTATATATACATTATATATCTACTAAATATCTAGGCCTAAATATAGAAATGTTTTACCCGTGCCTGGTATATATACATTATATAGGTATCTACTAAATATCTAGGCCTAAATATAGAAGTGACAATAGACGATGTGACGACAATGCAATAATGCATTTTTGTCTTGTCAACATGCAACTGTACCGGTACAGCGGTAAGCTAATCTTGCCTTTATTCACCTCAGAAACGAAAGTATCGTATCCGCGAGTAATGCACTCCGCTTCGCTATTAGTTTTATCTTTTCTGAGGCACGGATACTTCTGCTTTAATTCTTGGGTAAAATGGGTTTTTACTGGATCTACTGACGAAATTTTCTGCCAAAATTAAAACTTCACTAAATTGCGAAAAACCAATGACATGACAAGTATGCATTTAACCTAGGGCAAGTTTTGTGAATCTGCCGAACCTCTCCACTATTGTGCAAGCTCCCGTCCAAGGTTAAAACTAGGGTCGCAATCAGAACTTCACAAAGGGGAAGCTAATTTTCTGCAAGGTCATTTAAAATGATCATTCTAGTGTAACCTTTGAATTAGATACAAACTAATACACTGTGTGCTGGTGTGTGTGTGTGTGTGAATAGTGATTGTTGTGTCACAATGGTGTTGCAGCAACCATCTTTTGTTGTATAAAGTTGCATTTTGGAGATTCGAAAGATGATATGATACCTCAAAAATGTTGGTAGCTTAAGTCATTCGTGTCCAAAACTTCAAACTGCATCTGAATGCGGATTACAACGTTTTTTTACGGATTTTTGCCGAAATTGACATAGCCTACCTACATTATGAACTAGCGCCATTTTGATATGAGTTTTAATGAAATGTACTGAATTCAAGATGTAAGTAACGGTCATTGACATGTCCAGTAAAACATATATCTGCGCGAAGCTACACCCGGCTGAGCCATTTCACGAGTTGTTTAAACGTGTAAGATTGTATATCTTCGATGGACTATCGTAATTTTAATATTTTTTCTTAATTAGTAAGCTGGGTACTAGGAAGATTTTATTGTATATAACTATTGTAGAGAACCTTCGGCAAACCTCTGGAACAGCTCCACCAAGTCTCTACTTACTTTGGAATTTTTTTTTAACATCAAAAACTGTTGAGTATATCATAAGAGAATTTCAAATATTTAATCCCGCAAAAAGGAGGACTTTTTAGAGCGTCCTCGGAGTACACAAAATTTTCAACGGAAAAGGAGGACAAATCCTCCAAAAGAAGGACGTATGGTCACCCTACGTAATGTAGTACAGTAGTAATGCGACTCGTCGTTCTACCGGTACAGTCAGGCAGTCGTCAGGTCGTAGGATTCCTTCAAGTCCATGCATCTGAAACAAATTTGTGGCTAACTAGGCTATTCCCATACCGACGTGGACTGGTTGCCGTGATTACAGGATTAAGACGTCCTACTGTACCTTAAGCTTTCCTCTCTCTCATGATACCATAAATAGATATTTACTGTTATTGTGTTAACTTAAATCCTATCCCACTGCAAGACTTGTAAGTTGTAAGCTGATGTTACATTTTTAATTAAGGGCCGGCTCCAGCTCCGGAGTCGCAGTGTATTCAATCTTTAGCTCCAACTCCGGCTCCAGAGCTTCATTTTTTTATGCCGGAGCTGGCTCCAGCTCCGGCTCCGTAGCCATTATCAGTAGTGCAGCCCAATAACGCATTTTGCTAATTGTTTTCTAAGTGTGGCATGTTATTTACGCTGTAAACACCCTTCAAGTCGGTGTCATGATAATTCCTTTTCTGTTCCTGCATGTAACTTGTGAATCCACTGAGAGTTATTATATGCTGTATTTCCGGGCGAATCGGTCAACCCACCCCACAATAAGACGGGAAGGAAAATCGGCTTCTGGAATGGTCGCAGCGTTTGCGCATTTGGTAAAATAGCTCATAATGACTTTTTCTACCACATAATATTTAACCCATAATAACTGTTTTTTTATTTTAATTTAATTGTGTTCAACATAACTGGCAATCATGCCGGCCAAATAAAATTTGTCGTGGCCAATTCTAAAGCAAAACTTATGGTGTTTTATTTTTAGTAGCCTATTTTATAATGTCGCTTGTTAATCAGGAAAATTTGGTTTGCGTATTGACTTCTTTATTTATCTTAGAATTTCATCATCGATGATTATGTAATAACTCGTTTTCTCACAAATATGGTGCGCGACACAAAATATATGTCTTGAGAAATTGTGATTAAGGGAAAAATAAACACTGAAATAAAAGATGTTATGGCCTAATGTTTATGGCGACGAAAACAATTGACGCTTTTCACGAAATGCAACGCACATGTGATAGTAACGGCAATAGCCCTTCAACTCATGATAATTTAAACTGGCCTGATGGGGAGGCAGTATTTTATGGTCCAAATTGAATAAGCAGACCCAAAATAATGAAAATTACCATCGTCACCCAATTAGATGCCGTCCCCCTCTCCCAAATCAGGCCAAAAGTTGGTTCTATAATCGAGGCGTTTTCATAATTATCAGCGATGAGATATTAAAGATAAATAGAGAAGTCATTCGCAAGCCGAATTTCCACATTTGAGAGTTATTATAAGATACTAAAATGAAACGGAAAACACTATAAACTTTGTTCTAGGAGACTCCCAACAGCTAAAAAAATGCCTTGTTAATCTCATTATTTTTTTTGCCTACGACATATTATTTACCGGTTGACTTTGAAAATTATACAGTCACTAAAATAAATCTAAACGCAATTAATCGCGATATACTTTTTATATATTCAAAAAATAACAACGGAAATTGATGAGACTTTTTTCCAGAACATGCTATGTTATGGATCAAAACAAGATATAATGGGGCACTTTGCCATACATTTTTATGCCAGGTGACTGCTGCGGAGCATTTTGGAGTAGTTAAACCTTTCTTTTGTCGTAAAACGACCTAATCTCGAGATACGTTGAACAGAATTGAAGACATTTGAAATGGATTGGATATTCAACGCCACGAAAAAATCATAATATGTTATATGGAAATTCCAAAATCACTTCTTCGAAAATCCCTGGCCATTAGGGTTTTTGAGCTTGACCGCAATCATGAAAAATTGCAGCTTAGTGGAAATGAGAATCAAAATTTTGATAAAAGTGAACCGCTTCAAATTTTGATACTAAACTTTCAAACATACAAAATAACTGGAAACTTTTTAAAAAATATTAGGAACTAAAATTTTTAAAATGAATTATAAGCTGAAAAGAAAAGATTTTATCATTTGTAACGCTATCAGAAAAAAAATTATAAATTCGAAAAACAAAAAATGATATATTTAGGAGCTGGAGCCTGGAGCCACTAAATTTTTGATAGCTCCAGCTCCGGCTCCATCTGTTATGAAAAGCTTGGCTCCGACTCCATCAAAATGTAACGGCTCCAGGCTCCGACTCCAGCTTCGGCTCCCCAGCCCTGCTTAAGGCTGCAGGCTATTTCTGTATTTAGTATTGCAGTGGTTCTCTGCTGTCGGTGTTCCAAAACCTGAAAACTTACCGGTATTCATTCAGTATTTGTAGTTCTTTTGTAGCTAGATCTGGCGTTTCATAATACATTCTGACATTACAGCATTACTGGTGGTATTTCAATTAAGCTACTGGGATCTCAATATCTGCAGAAAATATTGATTCTCATTTTAATTGTGAACTCTTACTGAATATGGAATACTCGTCTCCACTTGATGAAGAATCAGAGAACACAACCTCCAACACTTTGAATATCACTGACATTGCAACTGCAAATAGCATTGAACATTTGGGTACAAATCCCGATCATTGGTTGCAGGCTTTACAAAATCTTGAACAAACGGAAGATGTGGCAAGAAAACGAAAAATATTGAAGCACTTCTTTGTTAAGTCAGGCAAAGTTTTAGACCCGATTACCCTGCGGAACAATCGTAACTATGCAGTGCTTCTTGGAAAAGAAGCTCTTTTCCGGGCCGAACTCGATGTAGAAGATGCACGTAGCATGTTTGAAATGGCTCTCACACTTTGCCAGAAATCTTCTGTTCTTTATTTAATGTTTGCCCAATTCGAATTGGATCAGGGCCGCAAAAACAAAGCTTTAAAAATACTCCATCATGGTGGAGTTTGCATCGGTGATTCACCTGAAATCACCACAGCAAAATTGAAAGTACAACAAGGCTGTATGAAAATAGATGACATATTGAAGTTGCAAAGCAGCTCATCACCAATGTTGAATATAACTAGTGGCACAATAAAAGAAACCCAATCCGAAGCTACCGTTTCGCATACTAAAAAGTTACCTGTTCAACCAGAATGTGTACTTTTGAATGAAGGTTCAACTGAGAGTTTGTCACGCATTCCTAACTCTTCCTTGAAAGTTGAGGATCTTTATGTTACAAAGTCTCACAAACCAATTTCTCCTCTTCCTAATGAGCTTCGTCCACAAGAATTGGAGGTAAACACAGCATCTACAGCAGCATCACAAATTGAAAAGAAATGTTTTCAAACACCACCTCCATCCAAAATTGACAACAACTTCAGTTTAAGTCTAGATTTCCAATCGCCTGTTTTCAAGGACACAAGTTTAACCTTGATAAAGAAGGGGATTCCTCTATCAGGTCTAGTTAGAGACAACTGCACAAGTAGTTCATCAGTCGGTTCTGGTAGAGATATGTTGAACAAAACTACACCTGGTATCAGACGGGAAAATTTACAGACTCTCACTCAAGAAAACTCTTTAAAACTGCCTACGTCAACATGTATGATATGGAGTGAGAAAAAGCATTCATTGGTTTCTACAGGGAAACTGAAAGATTTTCAGACTAATTTTCCTACTAAGAAAGCATATCGAACACAACTACCAATGAGGATTCCACGAAGAGTTTTAATACAGAATGAAAGCTCTAATTTGGGTTCTGCGGAAAGTTTAGATCTTGCGGACGTTAAGCCGCTTGAAAAATCACCCATGAGAGTGAGGACTGAGAATCTGGTTGAATCATTATCTTGTGCAAGTACACAGAGCACAACATTAAACAACACAAACCAAATGAATGATAAAGAAAATATTATGCCAAGACGATCTGGGGATAATGCTATTTCACAGAGTGCTGTTTCTGAAAAACTTTCTCACTCAAGTGCTTTTCACCCACACAGTAATGATAAAGCGAGCGGTTCGCCAGTACAACCACAAAGTACGGATAAGCCATCACCTCAGAGTAATTGTGATAATCGAAAACAATGTTATCTGGATGAGAAACAAAATACTGACAATCTATCACCACAAAGTAATTGTGGTGATATGGGACAAAATTATTCATATGATAAACAGTTTGCTTATAATGGTAGTAACCATTTGTCAAAATCCACAAATAATATATGTACAGAGTCTCGTCCTACTATTTCAAGTGGCAACAGACATGATGTACATCATATGAACCATAATGTTCGTCATTCCAACTATCATTCAAAGCAGATATTATCAAGTGAAAAATTTGAAAACTTTTCAATTCAACCTATCATGGAACATCCAGTGCATCAAGATTCAACATGGATTCATCCAGCTCACAGAATAATGCAAGAAAAGAAAATATTGGAAATTAATGGAAAACCTTATATTTTACTAAAACTTTTGGGTAAGGGTGGATCTAGTAAAGTCTATCAAGTTCTTGACCCTGTGACATGTGAAATATCTGCTGTAAAACAAGTCAACTTGATTGGATGTGAACCTTGCGTTCTTAAAGGTTACAAAAATGAAATAGAATTTTTAAAAACATTGCAAGGAAATCGACACATCATTAGTTTACTTGATTACGAAATTCGTGAAAAACATCTTTATCTTGTAATGGAGTGTGGATCTCTTGACTTGTCTGCATTCTTGAAAAAACAAAAGGCAGATCATGTACATTTAGATGTTATTCAGATATTGGCATTTTGGAAAAACATGCTTGCAGCTGTAGAAACAATACATAAACATGGCATTATCCATCTTGATCTCAAACCAGCAAATTTTATGCTTGTAAATTACACTCTGAAATTGATTGACTTCGGAATTGCAAACGCAATACAGGTTGATGCCACCAGTGTTATCAAAGATACACAATTTGGAACTATAAATTACATGGCACCAGAAACAATTAAAGACATGTCAAATGGCACTTCCTCTCATGCTCCTATGTTTCGTGTAGGTCCAAAAGCAGACGTTTGGTCCTTAGGCTGTATACTTTATTGCATAATGTATGGAAAGACTCCATTTCAACACATTCATCATCACGTGAAGTTATTTGCTATTACTAATGAGGATCACAACATAGAATTTCCTGATTTTCCACAAAATCAGCTGATTGATATTGTAAAATCATGTTTAACGAGAGATACGAAAAAGAGGCCTTCTGTTGAATTTCTATTGAAGCATCCATTGCTGAACTGATTATATTCTCTGAAAGAGTCCAAACGGTGATCTTTTTCAATCGATCCATGGTATATTAATCCCTGCTTTTTTTCTATATCGCACATGATTGTATTCCAAACATCAACAATATTTTATTTCAGAGATCTTCATGATTCATCAGATCAAGAGATAATTGAAAAGTTAAAAAATTTACATACTTAATTGACTGAAATTATTTACATAAATAGTATGTGTCTACACTATATATTATCAGTTCTCTCTTTTAATAAGTCCTCATTATAAGCATGTGTTTTTTGGGCTGTGCAAGTGTGATTTAGATCTGAACGGCCATCCCTGAGTTCAATATAAGCAAGGTATATCATTCTTTCAAATCCGTCAACCAGGCGTGGAGTTCCCACTAATGTGGAACTTTACATAATAATTATGCAAGAGATAGGATATGTGGTATAGACAGTCTTTGCAGTTGTGTGCCATTAACTTGGCCTCCAACTCTAAAATATGGTCACGTTGAGCCATGTTGTTAAATAAGAGAAAGAGAAAAAGGTTCTCTTTTTGCTTGTGGCGCACTAAGCAAATGAGAAATTTGCTGCACACTAATAAAGTTAGCTTCAATCAAATTTGTTATGCAAATGTTAATGTGTGCTTGTTTCAAGGAACAATGAATACTGAAACGAGGTTCTGTCGTGTCAAGCACACCCTATTTTTGTTATTAATTCCAAGAAGTCCTTTTCTGATTTCAGTCAGAGCAAAAAAATCTATGTTCACAGAGCCACGAAGATGCAAATGGCCAGGTTATTTTGATGGCTTTTGCACAGATAGGATAGGTAAGCAGATGCCAAAGCTCAAGTTAACATGGTGGACGTCTTGTTTGCAAATTCATTATGACACGACAATCCATTACGAATTCCGATTTGCTTATTTTCTAAAATTTAAAAAAGATCCCACACAGTTTGAGAAACGCTGATCTAACTGAACCCATTTCCATATAATCAATCAAAAAAAACTTGAAATAAGTTCTTCAATATATTATTTGTTTATTATTTTCAATACATCAGACAGGCAAATGAGCTTTCCCCAAATATTAATTCAAGCGAGCCTACAATTTCATAAAACAATACAATAAATATTTGCACTAAAGTAACGAACATTGTACTGCTTTTCTTTGCAAAGCACAGTGTGTACAAGGATGAGAGCTGTTGCATGTGATTATAATCATTGATATGAAAATTTCGACAAATTTAGTTTCAAGTTGTTACAGCTCAATTATACATTTTTTTCCCAATTTACAAACCAGAAGATGAATTTATATTGTTTAAAAACAATTTATGCACCTTTATACCAAATTCTACATGCGGTATACTATGTTAAACTTGAATATTTAAAATAAAATAAATATATCATTTCAAACCATTAAAAACAAACATTTTACATGGATAGTATCAATCAAAAACTATTTTCAATTCGACATGGTTTGGGAGTGTGAACGCATAATTAATTTAATCAAACATATATAATTGGGCTGGCGTAATCAAAGACAAGTTTTAAAATGCCAATAAAAATATATATAACATCTAGATATACAAATTGCACGATTGGGCAAGCATGAAAAGTTGTCTTGCCTGAAATAAAGCCACAAAATGGCATGTCCGGCCTGCGACAACACAAATAACATTTTCTGATGGAGTTGAAAATCACATCCACTCTTATGACAGTTAGCAAATTATAAAAATTATTAAATGATTATAATGGAAGTTATAATATTTGGCAAGTGAAGTCATGAAAATTTCAACTACTACATTGAAATGAAAAACTAAATAATTTATTGCAACAAAAATTAGATAAAATGATTTATTCAAGCTCATACAATAACGAGTTTTACTAATTTGTGTACTATTCCACGATGTGATTTTTATACTTCCAAAATCTTATACATTTCAGTAGCTTTTTGTTGAAAGAAAAAACGTAAATCACCCCACAAAAATAGACACCGGTAGGTTGAAAATAGTATCGATTGTATTAAAAAATAAAACTATTAGAGAAATAACTGCAAACTTTTTAATCGAAGCCGACACAGATCTATGTTTTTTGGTTTTGTTCAGACTAAAGTTTTTTTTCGAACACAAGTTATCTACTTCATATAGCAAATGATATTGTAAGTGCACTATTTAAAAACATCGAAATTCAAGATCATCCCATAATAGAATAGACTGGCTACTGGCTTCTATAGAATCTACAAAGCTAAATGTTATAAAGAAAAAAATTATGAAACTGCATTATTCCCATGTGAAAAGTTTAACCTTATAAAAAATGTACTGCTTAATAAACTTGTAATACATGAAACTCCAATTTCACAGTTGTCGGCAGTTGCAACATCATAAGTAAATAAGGTGTTAGGCAATAGGTTTACATGCGAGTTTACTCAAAGCATAAACAACAGAAAAGTATAAGCAAAATAAAAAGCTAACATCTAGCTGAGTGAGAAGCGCTTGTTTTACAACCCAGTGAAAATCAACATTTTTCCTAGATATTTAGATGAAGCAGAAGTATACTAGAACAAAAATTATCTACGACATATTTCCAGCACGATTTATCATCAGAATAAATTTAGGTGAAAAAAATACAAACACAGCAGAATTACTTGGTCACATAGGAAGTTGTTGAACAAGGTGATATGATGAAGTAGATCAGGTTTGTAGATTGTTCATGGTAAATGACCAAGATTGTGATAATCTGTTTGAACACTTCGCTAAAGTAATTCCTTTTTCTTCAACATTACGACTATCAAGGCATAAGTTGAGACCTTTAACTCGAATTTCGCTGTTGCTGTTATCAAATTTCTGCAATAAAAGAAATTTATGAGCAATTTAACATCCAGTCAAATATCTGATCTCCAATAGTTATAGAGATGCAGTATGAATACAAATGACATCAAAACATGAATATTTTAAAAATTCATCTGGCAATTTCATTCGATTTCCTGTTTGTAGGAGTTACTATACATGTTTACAATACCACATCAATGAATGCTTTAAATCATAATCTATATCTGTTGAAGCATTAACTGAAAATTATCACCTTGCTCATGGTGTAGTGCATGGTAATAGCCCTTTTAACAACTAACCGATTTGTAATATTGTTAAAATCTCATACCTGTAGGGCTGAATTCTCATTGCACTTCATCAATTTAATGACAGAGCCCTGTGATAATCCATCAACCGCCATAAAACATAAATGCAAATGCATAATTTGATCTTTTTTGTTCAGTGAGAATTCCTGTAGAAGAAAGTTTTCAGCCTAGATAAGCATTTGACTTATCAGTCCAATATAAGCATACACTGGACTGGTATAGATAACAATTCCAATAGGATGACAAGCATTCGAAGCTTGAAAAGCAAAAAAGGCCTATACTTATGGGGGATTCAAAATTTTACAACATGTGTGTGTAGTGTGTGTACCAAGTTAGGGTTAGGCCATAATTTTATTCAATTTTCCTCATTTTAGTTCAGGGACTGACTGTTTTTGTTAGCCAAGTGAATATACCCCCTTGCCTATAGGCCTCAGTCCTTTATACAACTTACTTAATGTAAAGCAGCCTTACTTACGGTATGTAATATATATAAAATGATAAATGTAGCAGTACATATCTAGCATCAGTGTTTGTTAACTCCAACCACTCAAATAAACAACACACCTGATTTCCACCCGAATCGTGGCATTCATAAGTGCCGATTTTTCCTCCCTCTAAACTTCCAAGTGTATCCATACACAACGATCCCGAAGATTCTTGTTTAATTGCCCCGAATGCAACTGCTTCTTTGTTTGGCACCCTGACAATTTTCATAGTGATATCAGATCATGAAGGTTAAATACATTCAAAAAGGTAATTATTATTTTGTATCATTTAGCAAGGCATATTGTTAACATCCCTAATACATTTGTTGAATAGCTATATATTGTATATATAAATAATAGCTATATATAAACAAATATTGCACTGTATAATATCAGTACAGTTAATCGAATCTACATTTTTAATAGGCTAAAACACATTTAGAGTCAACGAAGCATAAAAATACAATGGCATACTACGCAACCCACTTCAATCAAATAATTTTTCTTTGAAGCAGCCTACCTTAATTCAGGATACACATTTTCTAGATACCATTTGAACGGTTTGCAATGATTTTTTCTTCGTACTTCTAATCTGTCATCAATGCTAAAAAGGAAACATATTTAAGAAAGACTATTCAGATTATTCGACATTTAAAGGACCTAAACTCAACATAATATATATAAATATGAAACAGGTTTAAGAAAGCAAAAAATACCTAATCAATTTTGGAACATTGAGTATGTTATTTCTTAAGCTAAAATTACTGTTTATTTTGCATGAATTATAATCCAGTCACATATTTATTCACGTTTTATGGCAACACTGAGAGAGCAGTTAGGTGTGCTCAAAACGATTGATCCCAAATAGCACACTTGCTAGACTTAACGTAAAGGGGAGAAAATTGCCTCATACAAAAAACATTGTAACATACTTTCCAAAAGATACCATTTTTGCTGAGGGTACGGCCGAATAATAAAATTCTTTGTATTCATCCATCCATACTTCGGCAGCTCTGCGTGTGTTTCTGGATGAAAACAAAAGCAACTGTAAGTAGAATCATTTACAGCTTTGATTATTAGCAAAATTCATGCTGAAATCATGTAATGTGCTAATGATATTTTGAAAAAATCCTAAAAAATTCACGTCAAAAAACATCATTTAATACGCAAACAATCCAATCATATTCTGCATATTAAGATGAATTCAAAATAACGAAAGGTTGCCTTCAAACATCCATCAACAATTATATATACGTATCAGATATGAACTACCTGCATTCAGGGATATTACACTGGCGTATCTACCTTCTATACAAAGCCAGCAATGGAATGTTTCATGCATCACAAAATGATCAATCACGTATGACATGTATAGTTATCCACTGATGGAAGGACTATTGCGAAATAGCTAAAGAAGCTGGTTTGCCTACAAAACAACGAAATGTCGACCGATCAACAAATAACTTAGTTGCTCAAGGTATTTGCGGGGTACTATTAACAATCAATTTTGCATATTTTTGAGAATTTTTATATCTGAGAAGGCTGTAATTTGAATTGAAGATCTCATAATTTAATTTTAGTGAAAACCCAGTGAATTAAACTTTGGTAGATTGGTTACTACGTCCGCTTTCACCACATCTGATTGGCCCTGTTATTGTATGAAATTTCATTTGCATTTGAATGCTGTCTAATGTGAGGTTAAATGCTAATGTTATTTACTGGTCAAGATGCTTCTTCGGTGCCCTAAAGTGACCATGCATATCTTATTGCTGATGTCTTGAACTTGACTAACCCCTTTATTTCATAATAATCAGAACTTTAGAGAATCATCAAGATTCAACTAATAGACAGTTGACCACTGTAAAACTAGCAAGGACTCAGAATTTCCAAATTAGTCTAGTGCAACCACAAACAAAAATGAATATGAGAAATACATACCGAGTAAAAACGTTACCACTTCCACCAGGGAATGTGTATGGATGTTGTTTCCTAAAGACATGGCCGACTCTACTGCAAGGTATAATTTCAAGCCGACCTCCACACTGCCATACCCTGAATGAAATTTCTAAACAAAAAAATAAAACAGTATATCATCAGATTGAAATTAATGGAAGGGTATAGGACAGAAAGCTTAAAACGGGGTGAGAGTAGTCCCGATATTTGTTTCTGCAATGTGGCGAAATAAGCAGGAGAAAAAAATAAGAGAACACACGATTCATAGAATAGTTACACCGTTTGACAAGATAGTTCCAGATGTGATAACAAGACTACAATGACTAAAACGTGTTTTTTGCATTTCCAACATGAGGTGAAACTCTCAAAGAGTAAAAATTCTTGCAGTTTTTGCAGTTCCAGATGTGACATACGTTATTCCATGAATAACTACAATGACTAAAACGTGTTTAAAACTCTCAAAGAGTCGGGTCAAGCTCTTAACCCACTACTCAGATTCCTCGAATGCACCTAACACAGACCTTGTCCAATCCATAATAATTATGGCTGTTTCTTAAATGTGTTCCCTTCCCAGTTTGTCTATTTGATAATAAAATCTTACAGACTAGTTATATATGCTGGTTCACAAACTTGAGATGACCGAAAAATAAATGAAGTGTTCTAAAATTCAACTCAGCAATGATATACATTTACATTGTTCCACAAAATCAAATTACAGGAAATTGATTTACAGTGCTAAGCTATATGATGCTATCAACATCCTTGCAGTTTTGCCAGAATGCAGTACTGTAAAACAAGTATTATCAATCATAATCATACATACCCAAATTCTCTCCTCCCCACACATCCATCTTTAAGTCATATTTTCCAAGTGCGTTAAAGTAATTCTTATCCATTGAAAATAGACCACCAGCTATCATCGGCGTTCTAAAATAGAAAATATTTTTGATTGAGTAAATGCAAAACACAGATTCAAGATCATGTGCGATCATCTAATTTTACAATTAGCATTTGCACTGGTAGGAAATCTGATCAAATGAGGACTCTGTCAAGTACAATCTCACCGAGTAAACATCGAATCATTTCCAAAATAGGGGATCATCAATTTTTTCTGGTACAGACATCTTGAAAGAAGTAAATAAAAACTTCTGACGAATTAAGCCATATTCATGATTCTCATGAAATTACATCGACCGATAACCAGCCTATGGTATTGTTTCAACAAAATAAATTAGAATGGGGATATATTAAATAAAATTGTATCAGCAAATAAAGTGGCTATATTATCATAAAATAAAGATTTATACCAGATCTTATTAAACATTCCACCAGCCCCTCATACCAAAGTCAAAAACGCAAGCATGTAATGAAACAACATCCTTAGCAATTATAGCCTATAGACATGCCACGTGTCTTTTTTGAAACCCACGCAAGCCAGCAAAATTGAACGCACCAAATTTATAGTCACTATGATACTGTTTGTAAAATGATATTATTAACATCCTGTGAATAGTTTACTATGCTCATTGATCAAGTCTCAAACATTGTTTCGATACATACAAGCTGGTAGAAAATATATAATTGTAACTTCGAAACACAACTTATGTAAATATATATATTCTCCAATTATAAATATATTAACATGACAAATATATTCCATTGCGCAATAAAGAAAAAATCCAATGACTGAGTGATCTTGAATAGGGAAAATCTGCTTACCGTACTTAATTTTAAATAGTTTTGCTTAATTTTGTTTTCAGGTGTGTATCGGATGTTATTATAAGATTAACTACACAATTTCTAGCATGAAAACTGGAGTCATTCACCTTTCTAATCATATGAATATGAGTCAATAGCTCAGACAAACAACCCCGAGGCATTTTGGTTGGTTTTTTCACATCTGATACACTATATTTTGATAAAGAGAGCTACTAAATGTCTATGCTACATAAACAGTACGATGATGAATAATATGGAAGGCAACGAACAAAAATAACATTTTCATCACTGAAGGGTTCAAACACTATGTTCATAATCCAAAATGACCCAAAGCTGCAGAGATTGAAGTTTGCAAGTTAAGTTGACAAAATTAATTGTAAAACGTAAATATTTCCAATAAATAGGCTGAATAAAGTGAGAAAACTTGCAAAAAGGCTGACAGATTGTTGGCGTAAAATAATTTGAATATGTTTTCGGTAGGATTCTGCCATTTAACCTGGTATTAAGAAGAAGGTATATTCTAATCTACCAGCATATTTATAATTGTGATTTCATAAGATGTTGTTACTGAGAAAATGAACAATTTCACAATTCATTGTATTATCATAGTGATGAAGGGATTTTAATCACGATAAATCGGCTTTGGAAGCTCCATCAAACCAGTCAGATTGAGGCACAGTTTCCAAGTTTAATTCAATCACTTTAATTTTTAAAATTCATGACTTTTTCGTCAATATCAAATGCACAAATATCTGACCATTTAGTGGCCTATCGATTCATACTTTTGGACCATTATTACAAAATACTTTAATATCATAGGAAAAAGCTTCATTGCTTAAAATTTGACAGATAATGTCTAAAAATGCACTTAAAATATTCTATAACTATTACGTAATGTTTTATACTTTTAACTAAAGATTTTAAAACTGGAGTTCACCTATGAAATGCTTAAAAATATTGCCTATAAATCTTTGGGACAGCATATATACTTTCGATAATAACAAGAATAATAGCAACATGTGATTATTAAGTGCTTTTCTTAGTTGGGTAATGATGTCATTAAAACTTTACATACTAAAAACTGGCATAGGGTAGTCGAGACAACATGTGTTGTCTGTAACAGCTAACAATGGCAATATTTTTCGTATTTTCTTTCAGTATATTGCATATTGCGCCAGGATCCCAGGAGAATTCAAAGTAAAATAATCAAAAGGATTCACACATGTATATTACTTGGATAATTTGTTACATACAAGCTACTGTTTAAAATGGCCCTGACAAAAATCAGAATATATCATCGAGACAAGAAAAATGAAATGTTGTAACTACTATTTGATCAACTTTTAATATCAAGTTATCAAACCTCATTTCAATAAAAATACTTTTGAATCAATAATAATGCAATTTTTCATTCATAAATACATGTAAAAAACATTATATAATTAGTCGGTCTATTTATATAGAGGAACTATTGTAGTATTAGAGCTTGTTAAGAGCAATGTTTTCATGATTTGAATTGAAGCGAGGATATTTCCCTGCAGAGATCTGAATTAGGCCTGGATCTTAGGCTCCACTTAGCTTGTATTGTTTTATAATAGAAATTGAGAAGAAAAGTTATGACAATGAAAATCTTACGCAATAGGTGAAACTGGATTTTGTCTTCTCGCCTTTCTCTCTTCAGCTGTCATGTAATCCCACTTAAATACAAGATTCCAGTCAAAACCTGTGAGTGAAAAATGTTTACTTGCATTAACAATATATTAATAATTTATTATGTTAAAAGGGATGGTTGGTAAGTCAGAAAGAAAAAATCCAAACACTGCTACAAAAACATGGAAGAGTCTTTCCGAACAATTTAAAATATGACTCCGGCTTAGATTACCATATGACAAAAACATTTTGACTTCTTCTTACGACTCAAGGATGAAAGCGATTTTAAACTCTCTCTAACTCCACGTTGATAACAAGAACTGTCATGTGCAAAAAATCTTGCCATGTCTTGGAAATCTTATGTCTTTTACCATCACAAAATGGTGTATTTTCACAGCATACATGAAATAGTGATTCGATTTGTAAATACAAAGCAATTGAATCTATGGAATGAATAAAGGAATGAAAGCGATTTTTTTACCTTAATAATTAAAAAAAATATAACCGAGTAGAAATATGGATAGGAAACGCAGCGATTTGATTACTACTTTGATATCCAAGTTTCACTATGACGTGATTAGGCTTAAAGTAACCATCCCAAATATGAGTGAACCATGAGCAACAAAAACTAATAATATTGAACAAAAAATATTCTTATTGTTTAAGTGAATTAATACCGAATTTATAACAATACATGAATTTATATGCCAATTGCTTCAGTGTCTGGCCAGATGAGGACAAGCTGATCAGATTATCACAAAAGCTTATACAATGAAGTTCATGTTTAAAACTAATAATGACGTTACTAGCTTGAAAAATAACTAAAACATGTAGATGTCTCTTGACATTTCAGTTACAGACAGACATTACTCGGGTGATTTCCTTTTTCAAAAGAAAAGGTCAATAATCACAAACAAATTTAAAGCCAATTACGTGAAATATCAAAAATTTAAATATTCAAATAGAAGCTATCTTTTAACCTCCAACAAATTGCTTCAATAGAAACTAAGTGAAGATATACAAATTCATTTTAATAATCTAACTATTTGCATTTTAATAATCTAAATTTTCGAAGATTTTAAAAAACGTATCAGGTATTAGGGGTTGCTATAATTTCTGTCAAAGCTGACGTTAACAAATTATGCAAGAACTCAAAATTCCAAGTGTCCTACTAAAATATTATATAAGTTTTGCATTGTGTGAATTTTCAATTTGTTGTGCACATGGAAAAATTAATTTTTCAGCTAGATGACCGAAGTTGGTAATATGGCCCACCGACAAAACAGGAACCTGAGGCAATAATATTTAATGTGATATTTAAAATATATTACCTTAATATATGTTAAACTATTGACGCGATATTTTTCTATTAAACCATACATGTTCATTGCGAACCACTTGTTCATTTCTGGTAATTTTTTTGATTTATAAAATATCAAGATGGTTGAATTGCCGCATAGTGTTGCTGAAATAATCATGATAACAAATATGCACTGCTTGCTGTTCACTGAATAATGATAAATATGAAATGTTAAGCTGCTATGATGGAGATTTTGACCATATGTTAAATGCTATAGACAGCAATATATTCATGGTATTTAAAAAAAGAATGAAATTGGATAAAGTTTCAAATCAAAGTAAAATGGTCCTACCTCCTTTCAAGTCCGCACTTGCACCAATATATTGAAAATTATCCATATTAATAACATCAATAATGGGACAGACGACAGCTTTGCTATTGTCAGCAATTCGCTCTAACAAAGGTTCGAGCCAATTTATGTTGCACTCAACATGCGAATCGAGAAAAGTGAGAACAGGAGCCGTTGCAAAATCAGCACCTCGAACTCGAGACCTCATCAATCCTGAAATAACGAAAAGGTATGAAGCAAAAAAAAAGTAGAATAAGAGGTAGAATATTGTGAATATTAACAAATTGCCTCAATTCCAAAGTAGCGAGTGCCGAAGGCTAGACACACACTACAGATTAGCATACACAATATAGCTGCACTTACCAGAACAATAATATAATTTAGAATATAAATTTCTGACAGTGAGTATAAAATGCAATCAATGACTAGAGAATACTTTGGTGAACAACCCTGCTTTGCACATGAATTGAATTGGGGACAAAAATTCAGTTCCATTAATTGAATTCAACTGAAATTCTCATTCCTATTTAATAATACATTATTATTAATAATCATTTTCAAAAAAGCTCTGAATTCCCATTGTCGTTTTTATTTTTAGAAGTATGAGTTTTTGTTTTACACAAGAATATGCACAGGTAATAAAAATGTAATCAAAACAGTTTATATCTTGTTTCGTTGTTTTATCAACAATATTGAGGATCCTACTTTTATTACTTTTTATTATTGATTGTTATATAAAAGCTTGAATGAATTTTAACATGAATGAAATGTAATATTCCGATTTTGTGATTACAATTAAATACTGTTACACATTGTATTAAAATAATTGGCAGCCTTCATTGAACTACAAAAGTTTTTCGATTTCATAGTGACAATGATGTTTCTACCTACGGTAACTTAAATATTATTTCAAATACACAAAGTATCACCTCTAATGTAAAAAATTGCCACAGGCAAAATTGAAGCAGACTCGTTAACAGTTATAAAACTATCTATAATTGAGAAACATCTTTTGATTGTATCAGACGGCAATGAACATTTTAAATAGATTCTGTTTAAAGTTACCAGTCGATTCAATTTCTAATTTCAAATAAAAAATCAATACATAAAACATGTATAGTAATTTATAGAATCAAATATTAAAAGAAAGAATCTAATTACCTAATACCTAAGTAGAAATATAAAACTTGTTTCCGATAAAATACTGTTAATTGATTATTTTATTAATAGATAATATCACTTCTCAGTATGATTGCTTGAAATAGAATGACATGATAACGTGAGGAAGTAAAACTAATTAAAATAGATCAAATATGTGAAAAGTGTAATAGGTACAATTCGGACATTATTAATGGAAACAACATCCTAAAATATATACAAATTTTAAAAAGAAAACCCAAGACTTTAAACAGATAGAAAAGTTCATACTTTGAGTTTGATTAAAGCCATTTACATTAAAATGCAACAAAGTACTGAAGCTGTTGTGATCTTCATTAAAATAACTGACATGATTTTTTGTTGCACAAAAAATGCCAAATAATTGGCTCTAAAGGTAAAACATTGGATGGATATAGAGTATTTAAAATGATAATTTGATTTCCCTGTAGAAACAGTGGTCAGCCATGATAAATAAACTAAATGGATTTTAATTTACTTGATGGATAGAAAAATTTATTCTATTTTCAACTATAATGATTCTAGGAGCCTGACATGTTTTTTCAGATATGCACAGCACTTAGCATTCTAAAAATTCACTTCTGTACACTGTATGACTCATGACATAGGGTTCAATTACCAGTTGGCATACGATAGAATATCAATGCTAATAGAATTTTCTAAGTCAATGAAATGCAATTTCAGAGTTTTAAGCCAATCAATAAGCAATTGGATAGTGAATTCTTAAATGCTTTTATACGTAAGATGCCAAATATACTTCATCGAAATCATCACAACAGATTGGGTATGATATTTTACAGTGCTTGGCGAAAGTTATATGCTATGAAAATTTAAATCTAATAATCAGGTATTTGAATAAGATCTCCCATAGCAGCAAATTTAAATCTGAACACAATTGGAGAAATGTAAAATAAGACCTTATTAGTATGATTAAATATCGTACATAAATGACCTCACCTTCTCTTTTCTTGTTACGAAGAACATGAACTTTTTCGATTTTTTCCATCTCTACGCCATCAGAAGCTAAAAAAAAATTTTCAATAAGAAAATTGAGATAATTATTGGCTATAAAGTATTTAATCCCATGGTATATTTTTTCATAACACTCTAACAAACAAAATTGAAGAAAAGCATGGAACAGAGTAATAGAAACATTTCTAATGCATTTTGAATTATACAAATAGAATTATTGAATCAACAAGAAATGCTAAAATATATGAAAATGAGAATTGTGAGTTAATTGATTGGCCTGAGAGCTAAGGGTAATAAGCTTATCAATTGAAAAATATAGGCTTTATAACATGGATGCTTAATTTGTCAACTTAAAGTAAAATTTATTTATGAAAAATCCAGTCACACTTACGATCATCACTGAAATCATCCACTAAAATTATTTCTCTTATAAGTTCAGCTGGACTGTTGTTCAATACACTGACAACAGTTCGTAGAAGTGTGGATCTTGCTTCATTATGATACGTTATGATTACACTGGTTTGCGGAAGTTTTGAAATGTCCCATGTTTGCTTTTCACATCTGTAAAAAGATGTAAAAGTAATGAAAAACCGATTAAAATAATATTTCAGCAGGCTTGTTGTTGTTATTGAAAAGTTATGCAAATATCAAATACCTATATCGACGCATGAAATCCAAATTGGGCTAAGTCCATTTTTCTAGTTTTGAGAAAAACGCAAAAAACGTTTTTTTTTTGTTTCTTTTTTTTATTTCTCTAATACCTTACATCGAGGATGTCTAGTTTTTATGGTCCACCAAAGTTACAATGAAGGCCATATTTAGATGGTATAAACAAATTTGTGCTCCGCCCCAATTTTTTTTGGGGGGGGTTTTTTTGGACTTAACCCTTTTTGGCTCTCAATTTTCTGGACCTGAAACAATTTTATTGGACTTAGGGCCCTTTTATTATGTTTTTATAGAGGCTGGTATGGACTTAGCGCTTTGTATTATATTTTTTGAGAGGAGCTATGTCCAAAAAACCAGACTTAGCCCCAACTTACAATGCAGTTATCCAGAGCTAAGTCCACTATAGTAGACACAGCTCTGTTTAGTTCTCAAATGCCCTAAAAAAAGCAGGGTTATGTCCATAGCTGTCTTGAGATCTAGAGCACCTAGAGATAAGACAAATAGACCAAAATGTAGAGCTAAGTCCAGGGAAATCAGCAATTGAAAAATGTCATTTTTTGGAAAAGTGGACTTAGCACTGTTTGGTTTTGAGGTGTCGATATATGTCTGTTGAAATTTGCGAATATTAATACAATATGATATCACTACAGAAACCCACTCATCTCACAAAAAAGCAGAATTTTAATAAAAACTTACAAAAAGATAAGTTGACATGATAGATAATAAAACCTCATTCACTATTTATGACAAACTAGAACGACCTCAACTAGGTTATATGGACTATTCCTGTATGAGTACAGAGATCTACTTTTCAATAGCCTAGAAAAATGCATAAATTAGAGATTTCTTACATAGTAAGCATTATTAAATAAATGTATATTAAGTGATGTAAATGTAATCATATTCGAATTAAAAATGTCCTTCACAAATATGAGTTGCAATATTACCTAGCATGCCTTGTATCTGGAACTTTTCTATCCATTGGTATATTATCAGATGCTTCTTGATTAAATTTATTACGTTTGTATTTGTCTCCTCCAGCTTTAACACGTTTCGGACCAATATAAGATTCTCCATCAAAATTTTTCCATGAAACTCCATCATGTAACGAGGATCGTTCAAGATTTGTTTCAGGCGCTTGTGTAGCATGAAACTCAAAAATGTTAACAAGCGGCACTTGATTAGAATTCTTGTTTTGCATTAGCTTGTCCATAATAGGACCATTTTTATTATGATTGTCGAAAGTTATTGAATTGAAATGTATTTTGTTGTCTTTTTCATTTGCATTGGCATCTGCATTATTCCAATGTAAAGGTTGTCGATTTGAATCGCTCTTGACATGAGCATCATCATCATCACTCTAAAAAACAAGCATAGTGGCTGTTGTGACAAACTGATATAGGCTAATATTCATCAATGTGATATTCATCAGTGCCATGAATGTGAAGTTAGCGAGTTGAATTTAAAAAATATACCGTACCCATCCACGAATCTCTTTTTGATCTTCTGACGTTGGTGATTTCATGTAATAAATAGTTCCAGTCAACCACATGACACCAACCACTAATATAAGTTTATTATTTCGTCTCATGTTGAAGAAATCTTTACAATTGAAACGTATTTATAGAATTCAATATAATATCAAGTCTGATATAGCTTTAGTACATCCAAGATCAATTATATTAATCCTGCATCAACCATCGACCATTTTTGATTAATAAAGCTTCACTTCCATGACTTTGAAGTTGTTATTTATACTCAATGATTGGATATTTTGGAATAGAATAATAATCTGTAACAAAATGATACAATAATGACAACAGGCTGGAAAATTCCATCCAAGAAACGCTTTTAAGAATGGGTAGACCAGTATACAGATAGAAAAATTCCATCCAAGAAACGCTTTTAAGAATGCTAGATACAGTATACAGATGGATAGATGTTTCGGCCCAAACAGGCTAGAGTGTGAAGATACGAAGAGCTGGATCATGCTTTTCAGATGCCCTAAAAACTTAAGGCTTTGATGCCCTGAATATAAAAAGTAATCACAATAAGTAAACTAGCGTTCTATGTTATGGTACCTGAAATTGAATAAGTTTTGGTATTCATTACTGATCTGAGACTAAGTTATGATTAATTTACATGATATTGTTTAGAAATGTTTTTTTTTTGAAATACTGATCAAAGGCATAAAGGCCTACGCTAATCATGCTAATGTATTTTTGTCTAATAGGTATAAGTATATTAGCAAAACTTGATTTTCCCGCAAAAAAGCATACACAAAACACAAACAATAAACGCACAGAAGATTGGAAAAATCCGAAAAACTAGCAAAACCTTTATGAAAGTTTAATACATGTAAATATACATGGCGCCGACGATAAAGACTAACTTCATCGATCTCTCTCATAGTCATAGTGGGATCGTTGCAACGAGAAAAATAGCTGTTCAATTTCGGGTGCTCGTCAGTCGTCTGCGCGTCTTGGATAGTTTGACGGGCTCTATTTTGTCACTGTGTCGTCATTTTTGGATGGCGTAGTCAGGAGGGGGTTAGGATTGAAATGTGAAAAAAATTGTTATGTTACGCCCACTAGAAGTAGATTAGGTACAAAACTACATGAGACGCGTTTTTACCGTACTTGATGATTCGCGTTCGCTACGCGATTCAAGTCGTTTAATGAAATTAAGTACTGGTACCGTCCGAAAGTAGGTAGCCTACAGCAATGGATCCCAACCTTTCTACCCTGGCGGGCCAGTGAAATTAAATTAAATGTACTCGTGGACCGGCAAAAATTGAAAATGACCGGAACATAAAAGAATATATTTATAATATATATAAGAACATATATTTGCGTAATACAATGCAATGTCGGGCACTCAATATGCATCTAGACAAAAAAGTCACACTCAAAATCAGCTCCCACGAAGAAAAACTATCAAATAATGTGCCGACCAAATATATTTGCGTAATGAAATGCAGTGCTGGGTACCCATTATGCGTAAGAAAAGCATACATAAAACATCTCACATAAAAAACATGTACATGCCAAATTATGTACAAACGCGATTAACTCTAGTGAAGATTTTGCTGCTGTTTAGTTTCCAATATAGGATTGCAAACGATGCCTCAAGGAAGTTTCTGCAACACGTAGCCCCGCAGCGGCGTGCAGCCAATTTCCTTGCTTCGCTTTAATTAAAGCTAGTGATGAAAATATTTTTATATATAAGTAATAAAAATATAAGTGACTCGTTGAAAATACGGACAACAGTTTGATTGCTCGATTACTTAGCGATGGGTATTCGTTATCAAGAGATATCCAAAATCGTGACAGTGTTTCTTTTTTAAATCTGGACTGTAAAGTAGAATCACAATTTGAATCAAGCTTTTTCATTGGGTTTATCATATTAGTCCCTCTGCAGTTGATAGATGCTTCAAACAGGATGAATTTACATTACAATGACAAAGTCAAACATTTTGACAAAGGTAATTTGGCACCAGGCTCAAAATCCTACTTTGTCTGCTCAAGATACTGGAAAAGATCTCAGCGGCCCATGCTTTTTTGCGCTCCTCGTGACCACCTGCCATATTTTACTGGAGTAATATACTTTTCTCGACTGTTTTTTGGTTTGAACAAAGAAATATGCATAACGTTTTATTTGGATGGTCATATTAATCAGAAAAGCATGCTGTACATAAAAAGCATGCGTGCCAATTTTCAGGTTTCTGAATCTTGCGAGATTTGACGGAGCGCATTCACGATGAATCGTAGCCTAAAAAGCAAAAAGTGTGATTCATTGGCGCCAAGATGTCGCGAAAGACGTCGCAATATGACGGCGGAAGAGAAATTGCGAAATAAATCAACCTCGTCTTCGGTAAAGAGATCGGAGCGCATTCGAGATGAATCGGAGCCGAAAAAGCGAAAAGTATTATTACTCGGCGCCAAGATGTCGCAATATTAAGGCGGAAGAGAAATTGCGTAATAAACCAACGCAACCTCGTCCTCGGTAAAGCGATTTAGACGGCATAAAAACAACAAAACACCGAAATTTTCACGCGGACCGGCAAAAAAGCTTCGCGGACCGGCACCGGCGGTTGGGAACTAATGGCCTACAGCATGCCACAGGTCTAGTTGGATTAGTCTATATCCGGTTCCTTTAATTACCGGAACGAACCCTAAATTACCGAAACGGAACTTTAAGTTTCCTGGTTTCCGTTCCGGTAATTTAGGGTCCGTTCCGGTACGGTACCCGTAATTAAAGGAACCCGTCTATATCAGTAAAGTTAACGTCAATTACGATACTGGTGTAGTTAACTTTTCCCAACTCAAGTAGGTACCGTACCGGTACCGTACGGTAAGTCAGACGGTACCATTTTTGATATAAGTTACCTGTATACCGTACGGTACGGTACGTAACGTTTACAGAATTCCAAAAGTACGGTACCGGTACCGGTAATGGTGGAACCGTGGAACCACTATACTGGGTGATATAGATTCTAGGCCTGTACCGGTAGGCCGTCTTTGGTGAAATTTAGACACCACTGTGCGTCTGTCCCTCTCTCTACCAGTACCGTATCTGCATAACGCCACAAACCCACTATGGTTCAGATAAGCGGGCAACGTCACCGCACGAACAGACGAATGAGTCGCAGTTCTTCAACTTCTTACCACTTCATGGCAGCTCCTGCCACGAACAAACCAATGGCGGCTCTTACCATGAGTTATGGCGCCACCACCAGTATATTCACAAAGTCCTGTACCACATTTTAGTTTATCGTGCGGAATTATATCTACTCAAACCTGAAACCTAACCCCAAATCCACAAAAAGTTTATCCATAAGAAATATGTTCCAACTTACCAACTTTGTCACAATCGGGGGCAGCCCTGCCATTACAGCCGACATGTCGTGATTACGGCTGCAAATTTCTACCCGCCATTGGTATTAAATTTACCGCCGTGGTAACGGCATCTCGCCATTGGTTTGTGGCAGTAAATGATGTACTAAGCATACGGTGTACCACGACTTCCCGTCCTGTTACCAGTATCATACCGGGCATGAAACTAGTTAGGCAGTTATTTGTTCCCTTATGCATAGACTTACATGGCGGGCCCGTCATAATCGACCAGTGGTAACATGTACCAACATAACGCGTCGACGAGTCCAGCAATCCCCTCTCGCATGATCATCCCGCATGAAATTCGAACCTGTAAACTTTCACAGGGTAAGCAGCGATGGCAAGCATATTCCCATCGCTTAGCACAGGGGTGGGCAACCCTTGGCACGCGTGCCAAACTTGGCACGCGAGGCCTTGGAAACGGGTTCATTCTCCTTCAGATAGGAAACTTCAAGACTCTTGATATTATCTGTGGTTAGAGTTACTTGCTAACTCATAAATTGATTTCGAAAGAATTTAAGCGATAAGAGCAGGGAATACAAGAGAGAAGTGCAGAAAACAAACTATTGCGTGATTGGGATGCCATTCCCGAAAATTCTTCGTGTCTTAAAAACTTTGCAACTCCATTACTCTCCATGTTTTCATCTGCATATGCTTGTGAACCCAGTTCTCAGTTGCGAACTTTATTAAGTCTCGAAACAGGAGTAGCCCGGAAGATGAAGCCAGTAGTTCGTGTATTTCTTTGAAAGTTATAAAATATAAACCCAACGTAAAAGCTCTATCAGCTGTAATGAAACAGCAGAAGTCTCACGTATATATGAAAAATAAGAAAGGCAATCAAATCTATTTGTCGAGCTGATATTTTCCTGAATATGAATCTGTTTGTACACGTTTAAAAGGTTTATTCTTGTGTATTTTTGCTTTTAGAGTAGCGAAGCATTGTTATTAATTTTGGTCGGCACGCGGAAGAATTTTGTCGTTAAATTTAGCCGATTTTGGCACGCGAGCCTAAAAAGGTTGCCCACCCTTCAGGTAACTACCTGAAAATGATTTTAAAATGTTCCTTAAAAATTTAATAACAAACATTGCCTTGTTCCATATCCAAAAGTTGCACGTTTTACGGGAAAGACGCTTTTACTACAAGAAATATGTGCTACGATCTGTCCTATATTCTCTACATTTTCGGCAATGAACAATGACTTCTGCATGACGTAACAATTGAATCGAATCAGCTGTTAGCGAGCGGATGAATATTAGTTATTACTGCTCGACCTTGCGTTGAGTTGGGCAGCTTTTCCATAGCCCTGTTTAGTTATTATTAGTTAAGTTATGCGGAGACGTTGTTGAAAAATGTATAAATAAGTTATTGAACACTTGTAGATCCTTACCACGGATATGAGCCGTGAGACGAAGCCTTGAAAACGCCCAGAAAATGAGTTTCATATGGTAACTAAATAAATTCTTCAGTTTTGTGTGAAAATGAACATACTGAACGCATTACAGCTTGTTCCACAATCCTGATGCGAAATTGAATATAAGAGGTTCCCGGAAATTCAATAACCATAAGTTCACAACACATACATAAGAACTATGCAATTCGAGAGCCCTACAGCACACTAACACAAATGTATTCCTGTAATGTTTTGCCTGACCAAAATCGGACTCCCTCAGTCTATCATAATTTATTAGGTAGATTACGAAAAATAAGGCATACATGTAACCAACAACAAAAAATACTTTAATTGTGTGACAGGAGTCGCGAGTGACCTTGAAAGCAGCGACACCAACAACGCTGATTCACATTAGCGAATAAATTTTATGTAATAACAATAAGCAGTTTACAACAAGAACAGCAAAAAATTCTACATCCATTTTATAGAAGCTATCAAACGTATTTATTTTTAAGCAATGAA